AATTATTACTACAATCACAGAATATCTAGCTACGCAACAGAAGCCTCGTTACATGTATAAAATTGTAGGTAGCAAAAGGAGACAGGCTTTTAAAGCCTGTCTCCAAATCAGATATTTTGATGCGGTAGTTTCGCTACTACATAATAGAGGGCAATAAATTTAAAAGAAAACAGTTTTCTACAAACAAAATTTAAAAGAATTTTGTGCAGTATTGCCATTGTGTAATTCATATCGTAATACTTCCTGATAAAGCCTACCTTCAAATTTGCTACATCATTTAAACATATTAAAATAGATCAGAGCTGTTTTTTTCAATTTGCCATGTTAGTTGGAATTAAATCTTATTAGCTAAATTACAATCACTTCCTGACGTTTGATTGTATAATTGAATCCTGAATTTTCATTGTAATTCGGCGACAATATAATAAGTGTTGTTCTACTATTATGATACCACTTCCTGACGTTCGATTGTGTTCATACCAAGTTCATATCGTATAATCGGGAAAAAACGGCGTTAGCGATGGCTACGAATATCGCTGTCATTTTATATGTAAATTTATATGGGAAATGTCATCGATCGTCCTTTTCCAGCCAACTGGACGCCGTTTTTTTCGGTATCATACGGTATTTGATATATACTTATATTTCATGACATTACAATATTATGGTACCATGAAGCATATCAAGTGATATCTTAATATAGTACCATATTACGATACATAGCGTTCGATTGGGCTTAAACTTGGTATTCTATATCTTCAGTGACATTGTAATATTATGGTACCATGGAGCATATAAAGTGGTACCTTCGATAGCACCATATTTGATGACATAGCAATATTAGGTACATGGCGGCAATAGGGCTTAAACTTGGTATACTACGTATTTTCGGTGACATTGTAATATGATGGTACTATGATGCATATAAAGTGGTACTTTAAAATAGTACCATATTTCAATGCCATTTCCTGGCGATTGAGCTCATATTTGATATATACTTGCGTATTTTTTATGAAATTGCATTATTATGGTACCATGAAGCATATCAACTGGTACCATAATATAGTACCATATTATGTACATGGCGTTCGATTGGGTTTAAATTTGGGATACTACGTATCTTCTGTGATATTGTAATATTATGGTACCATGGAGTATAATAAGAGGTACTATAATATATTACCATATTACGATGCCATTTCCTGGCGTTCTATTGGGCTTAAACTTGGTATACTACGTATCTTCGGTTACATTGTAATATGATGGTACTATGATGCATATAAAGTGGTACCTTAATATAGTACCATATTTCAATACCATTTCCTGGCGTTTGATTGAGCTCATATTTGATATATACTTGCGTATTTTTGACGACATTGCATTATTATGGTACCATGAAGCATATCAACTGGTACCATAATATGGTACTATATTACGTACATGGCGTTCGATTGGGCTTTAAACTTCGGATACTACGTATTTTCGGTGACATTGATGTAATATGATGGTACTATGCATATAAAGTGGTACCTTAATATAGTACCATATTACGATACCATTTCCTGGCGTTCGATTGTTCTTAAATTTGGTATACTACGGATCTTCGGTGACATTGCAATATTATGGTACCTTTAAGCATATCGAGTGGTACCATAATATAGTACACTATTATGATATCATCTCCTGGAGTTCGATTGGGCCCAAATTTGGTGTACTTGCGTTTCTTTATAAAGATTTGTTTAATTAATAATTTTAATTTATTTTACGATTTTTAATTTATTGTTCGATGTCGTGACAGCAACTTTTATGCCGAACTAATATATTATTAATTGTACCTGTGTCACTTTTTAAAATCTACCTAGGCCTATATAAATCACGCGGCAAACGGAAGAAATTTGTTATTATAGTATTTTTTAGTCAGTTAACATTTTTTGTACTGCATTTTAATAAATTATTTCCATTATTATTAAACTTATATTTCATTACTAACGTTCCAGCATTAATAAATATCACTATCAATCGCCCTGTATATTATTAATTTTAAAGGTAATTAAAGGTATTTTCTTAGTTAACATTATAATGTAGTGTATATTAAAAATGTATATGTTTTGTAATAATATACTTAAAACTATTTTAATAGCCAAAGGAATAATTTATATAAGTGTATCTGACAAGAAAAGAAGAATAGAAAGAAACACATACTGCTTTATACACAATAAAAAGAATGGGATGTCAATTCAAGTCTTTTTGAATCTGGCAACTGTGCATATTTAGCCGAGCTACAAGGCCGTCGACGATCCGTCGATCCAAAACCGAAAGTTCAAAATTTCTAATTATATTCTGATTATGATATTGTCGCGCCATCTAGTATTCTATTTGTGCAATTTTAGTTCTTTCATTTCGAGTATTTTTCTGTTGCGTAGCTAGATATTCTGTGCTACAATCAATATTTATAAATTCGATGAAATATTGAAACTTATGGACGACATTGTCTTTTCAAATAAAAACGTTGTTTAAATTGCTCATTCCCATTCGAAGCTAATAGTGACTAACGATTGCATTAATTGAAGTAGAGAAGAAAAGTTTTGACTCTATTTTCCATTACCTTTAATCCGTCTGAAAGCCTTTATCTCTCGCATAATCATTCAGAACCGAGTTCTAAACTTTTCAATTAATTTTCTTTTCAAACCATTACGACGATTCTCCACTAATTATCCAATAAAGAACACAAAGGAGCCGAATTTTAATGCATTAAAGTCTTTCTTTGGCGAGCGTTAAGGAATCGTGAAAACTTTTTATTGAGGATTTTCCGAGGACAAGGAAAATCATAATTTCATCCAATTTATTTCGCATTAAAAAGTGAATAAATTAATCGCAAACGAGTTTGAGTAGTTTGGTCTTTTCGTTCTTTTATTTTCATAAGAAAAACGATACAAAACTTTTATGTTTACTTTCTAATAAAAACTGCCCTTATATGGAATGTCAGATATTGAAATTAAAATTCTATTTTTCATTTTAGTCAGCTTTTTTGGTATATTTAGGTGAATTAGTGATTTATTTTGCTGTTGTAGAACGAAAGATTCCAACACCCAACTGTAATTATTTGCTTCATCTATCTAAATTATTTCCAACGTTACAATGTTGCCGCATCTTCGTCGTTTTAAATGGAACAACCATAATGGAAAATTTGAAAAAAATGTAAAAAAACAAGATTTTTAAAATCATTTTGAGGCCAAAATTGAACTTCTTTGAAATAAATAATAATAATTATTATCATTGTTTACTTCAATTATATTTTGTGTATATACAGTATGTCCTCGAATTGTCTTTACAAGAGAAAAAACTTTTTTAATGCATTCTATATTCAAATTTCCATGCCCTTTATGACAAAATTTGATAAAAAAGAACATAAAAATATGGTTTAATTTTTTTCCAAATTTAAAATTCAAAAGGCATTTCTATGGAAATGGAATCTCGATTTTGCTCTTTGATAGATGGTTATTATTAATTTTGACTAAAGTCATATTTTAAATTTTAATCATAAAGTCATTGTTTTTAAATTTTCTGATTTTTTAAAATAACGTAAAAGAAAAAAAAAATGCTCTTGAAATTGTTATATTGACGGGTTTTATAAGTTTTAAAAGTCAATTACGCTGTACTGTTCAGGTCGCTCTCAGGGGTCGGGTAAAGCGGGTGTGTGGTGGAAGGAAATATATATTATATTTCAAAAATCTGCCTAAGGTTTAGCCCGATCCAGTCGTGTTAAGCCACACCCAAAATTCCAAACACACGTGCTTGGATTAAGCCTTGATTAAGGTTTGCAGAGCTTCAGCATTTGCCATAAAATAGCGAGAGTGTAACAAATTACAAAACCATATAAATTATATATCACTGTAATCACAAAACTTCAATCTATTTCCGTATTGTAACGGAATTTTTTAAATTATATCTTTATTTTCGAGAAAATTTAGTTCAAACATAAGGACTATTTGTATTATGTTTGACCATCAAAATCTTAAGGATTCTTGCCACTTAACTGCTAATATAGAAATTTAATTCTACGCTGTGTTTGTCATAATGCGGATCAACCTGCTCTCACTACCGGTTTCGGAGCCCTACTCCATCATCAGGTGAGCTTGGGAGATCCACAAAATGACAACCACAGCGCAGAGATAGTTAATTCCGACTTGTCGGAAAGTATCGGTTAGATATTAGTGGTACGAAAGTACTACCATTGCACGCAGGCCGCTATCTTCCGTTCGGGACTTAATATCTAACCGATACTTTCCGACAAGTCGGAATTAACTATCTCTATAGCTGTGGTTCTCAATGGGGTGTGATTTTAGAGAGCTTTGATGATGCGGGTAAAGAATGATATCCTATATATTTTATTATATATATATATATATATATATATATATATATATATATATATATATATATATATATATATATATATATATATATATATATATATATATATATATATATACTTATATATATAAAGCAGGGGGTCCTACAGCTTCTGCCGCATCCCGCATTTCGACCTCCATATTGCTCGATTTTGCCATTCTTCCTGGTTAATAGCTCTGTCTCTCATATACTGGTCTACTCCATCTAACCACGTAGTTGTAGGTCTTCCTCTTTTCCTTCTGCTTTGGGGACGAAACTCCATTGCCCTTTTTGGCCATCTTTCCCCTCCCATTCTTTTTACGTGCCCATACCATAGTAGCTGTCTCGATTGCTGGTATATATTCGCCTTGTTCTTTGCCTGATCTCCTCATTTCTAATGTGTTCCATCCTTGATATGCGACATGCTCTTCCGAGAAAGTCCATCTCCACTGACTCGACCATCCTTCTTTCTTTTGCTGTAAATTGCCAGCATTCGGCACCGTATGTTAAAATTGGCTCTACGATTGCTTTGTAAATCCTTATCTTTGTTTGGATGGATGTTTTATTTGACCACAGGAGATGGTTTAAAAGACCGATTACTTTCTTACCTTGTTGAACTCTACTATATATATCTTTGGAGTTCCCTTCTTCAGATACAATACTTCCTAAATATTTATATTCGCTACACCTTTTAATTTCATGTATATGTAGTTCAGGATCTTCAGTTTGTTCTTCTCCTACTTTCAGGTATTCGGTTTTTGTGAGGTTGATATTGAGTCCCCATCTGTCGTATTCTTCCACAAGTTTCCTGAACATATAGTCGGCATCCTCCTCACAACCTGCAACAATAACTTGGTCAGAGGACCTTGTTCTTTGCAGAGGCAAAGAACAAGGCCGATAGACAGTGGTTGTCAATCTCTATTCCCATAGCTCTATTCTTCCTTCTCCAGTTTTTCAATGCCTCCTGGATATATATTTTAAATAAGGTAGGTGATAAACTGCACCCCTGTCTAAGTCCTTTAGATGTCAGGAAGGATTCCGATAGGAACTTCCCCTGTCTAATCATACTTTTTGGATTTTTGTACATATTCCAGATTGCATTGATATATGTTTTACTCACATTTGCTTCAACCAAGTTTTCAAATAATTTCTTCAAAGGCACCGTGTCATAGGCTTTCTCTAAGTCTATAAATACCAGATGCGTGTCCAAATTTCGAGCTCTCCTTTTTTCAATTATTTGTTGTAACACAAATATGTTGTCTGTACAAGAACGTCCAGCGCGGAAACCACCTTGTTCTTCTATTTCTTCAAAGCTCTCTTCTACTCTCTCTTTTAATATCCTGCCATACAACCTTCCCATTGAGCTTGTCAAACTAATGCCTCTGTAGTTGCTAGATCTTTTTTTGTCTCCTTTCTTAAAGATAGAGCTGATGTACGCCAGGTTCCAGTCTTCAGGAATGTTTTCGTTTTTTATCAGGCATCTGTTGAAGATATCAGCTAGTATTTCCAATAATATATCGGGTCCCTGCTTTATTAGCTCAATGAAAATGTTTCCCGGCCCCGCAGCTTTTCCATTTTTTGAGTTCTTCAATGCTTTCTTTATCTCGTTTACACTTATTTCATTTACATCTATATCTTTTGCGTTTTTCAAATCTGGCCCTTCTAGTTTGAATTCTGTCCTGTTTTCTGTCAGTAACTGTTTGTAATGGTCTTCCCACTTTTCCATGCTTATAAATGTTAAATGCCGAATGCTTATTTTGCTACTTTTTAGGACTAGTGAAATGGACTCTTAAGGAATAACTCTTCATCTGAAATAGCCCTAAAATTATTAATGTTTAAAGCATAGTTTAAATAGTGCAATTTTGTAATATGTACAAAAAATCATTAAGGAATATCTGACATTTATATATGTCCAATCCATTACAAAATAACAATTATGATTATAGAACCCTCCTATTTCTATCTCTATTTTCTCCACATATAAATCCATATGGGACACAGCGGGACGTTTAATAACAGCCGCCTACATCATTTAAGTTTCCACGTTCTCTTCCATTATATAGCTATTTTCTAGCGTTTAATAATTTGTCATTTTCCCTCTTTCCTTACAGAATGTGACATGTACATTTATTGCTAGAATAAAATGGTCATTAACAAAAATCAAAAAATTCCCTATCGTATTATTAACTTGTGACTGAGCAGAGAACTATAATTCCTCTACCCGAATTGGAGAAACCCCTATTATTTTAAAGGGATTGGAATAAAGAACTTTAACCCTAAAATACGAGCCACAGTGTATGTGGCTGCATGGCGATGGCGCCTTAATCTCCTGCATGCAATTTCGTCTGCTAACAGGGCTGTCACGTGCAACAGGTTGTCAGATTTATCGGCTCCCAGCAGTGCAATAATTAGCCAAATTGGAACCGCGCTACGTATTCTCTATTTCGTAAGGGAGGCATAAATATGGGCCAGAGTTCAGTAATTGAATTCGGCTTTCGAATTGATAGAGATCGCCAGAGATGGGTCTTAGAGCCTTTCCTATTCAACATATTGAGCGCTCTCTTAATAGAGAGTGCTGCCATCAATATGTTGTACAAACTGCAGGAAATAGGAATGGGCATTAGATAGAGATACGACGGCGGTCTGTTCAACATAAAAGACACCTAGCAAAAACACGTGTACAATTCAGCACAGAGCTTCAGTACGCTGATGACTGTACTCTAGTTGCCAAAATGTTACAGCAATTACAAGAAATTCTGAACAAATATATCTGGGCATTCAAGGCTTTGGGCCTTAAGCTGAACATCGACAAAACTAAAAGCATGCGCACTCCCCCGGAAAATCACAACAATGCTATAAAAATCGGAGAACTACTGGAATATGTAGCGGAATTCAATTACCTCCGTAGTTTGATTTCGGAAAAGACCAATTTCGACTCTGAAATTCAGCACAGAATTAGCAGCGCCTCAAGAGCATTCTGGAAATTAAAAGACAGGGTTTTCTACAATCATGACTTGATTAAAATTGAATGAAACAGTGTACCGAGCAATAATAATCCACATCATCTTATATGAAAACGAAACCTGTGTGGCGTACCACAAGTTGCAACATAGACTCCTTAGACAACTGTTAAGAATCAAATAGTACCAATAGTACAAAGGTAGCTGCGAGAGCGCTGAAGTCATTATTACTAAATCCCGCTTAAGATGGTCTGGTCACGTATGCAGGATGCAAGACAACCGCCTACCGAAATATCTTCTTTACGGTGAGCTTGTAGATGGTAAGAGGAAACCGGGTGGACCACTCTAAGGGTACAAGGATATTTGCCACGAAAACTTGAAGGGGATAAGCATGCAGAATCAACGATAATCAAAAAGTAAAGAGGCAACACAGTAAGGAGATTTTTGAATGTCAGGAGTGCGGAAGAGAGATAAGATCACGTATCGGGCTTTTCAGTTACACAATCAATGTCCTGTTTCCGAATAGGGACGAATGGGATAAGCCGAGAAACGGCTTATTATTTGCGGAAATGTGTTGGTACACGGACGGGTCCAAAAACGATAAAGGATCTGGCGCAGGAATTTACTGGAGCAGTCCAAAGACTGAGATCTACCACAGTCTTGGAAAACACACCACTATTTTCCAAGCTGAGCTATATGCGATTGAAACCTGTGTGCAACTGCTGGTAGAACAGCAATACACCGGGAAAACAATAAGCATATTTTCGGATAGTCAAGCCGCGTTGAAAGCACTTGAGGCAACGAAAAGTACGTCCAGGACAATTCTTCATTGTAAGAAACTACTCAATATATTAGGAGATGGAAACAAAGTGTCGCTAATATGGATACCGGGACATGTCGGCCTAGAGGGAAATGAACGTGCTGATTCCCTCGCCAAAACTGGTGCAGGCTCGCCATTCGTGGACCCAGAACCGACACTTAGCGTACCAAAAAATCTCGCATGAAGGCTCTGTGAATGGGTTAGGGGTGTAACGCTTCGGGACTGGTATGACAGTCCCGGAATGGAACATGCCAAAACAATCCTAGCAGGGCCATCCAAACGTAGAACAGATGAACTCCTAAAGGCTGGTATGAACGGAGCGCGTACGCTTACTGCAGTATACACGGGCCACTGCCGGCTGAGATCACACCTACAGAGGATGGGACTGGTGGAAGACGCCGAATGCCGACTCTGTATGGAAGATGACGAAACAATGAATCACGTTATGTGTACCTTCCCTGCTGGGGGCAGGACCAGGTTTGAGGTGTTTGGCAAACCCACGCTAGACCTATCAGACCTAGAAGACATATCACCCTCGGACATAACGGCCTATGTTAAAAGGCTGGGTCTTGAGGGCGAACTTTAATGCTCTTTTTCTATTAAAGATCTTGTAGAAACTGAGCCACAATAGGCCCTCGCGGCTCAGTGGAGGGTCCCACCTGGGACTCACTCTTAGTAAAATACAAAAATACAATACGTTTTAAAATATATTCAGAAATTATTATTTCAAGGAATTTATTACGAGTAGAAAAAATATTGTGCTGGGTTGGCGTTGGTTTCTATGTAATTTGACAAATAAATAAAGTTGTCTCTTTAGTTGTCAGTTTTGGGTCAATATTTTTTAAATTACCAACAGATATTCAGGCCATAAAATAATTAACTAGAAAGAAGTGTTAACTCTGTGTTAAATCGTGGAAACACGATACGCCACCGAAAGCCTTCGTTGTCGTCTGGAGAACTAATTTTCCAATTGACAGGTTGACATGATGGCTTCATTTTTATTTCCGTTTCCGGTTATTCAATGGCGGGCCCTATTTTAGTTTAAATGTATTTTGTACTCTTTCTTATGATAAATAAAACAAAACAAAATTTTATTCAAACATATTTATTTGAAATATGAGACAACGTGACTAAATAAATATAAAAAATATAGAATTGAATGATTTCTACAGCAATTATTTAATTATATGCAATTTTAACGTAAATTAGTAAGGTATAAGCATGACGTACAGTAATTTGTAAATAAATACACGTATTCACAGCCATCAGGGACAGAAAACTGGGGCAGGACATGAAAACGGGAGTCTTATACAAAAACTGAAATCAGAAAAACAAATTTTTTTATACTAAAATTAACAATGTAAAAATATCAATAGGTATAAAATATAAATATACTGTTTAAAAAAAGCGTCCATTATTCCCAAAGAGACCTGGCTTATAAATCAAAAAGAAGCAAAGAGACTTTTAGTCGGATAACATAATCAGATTATCAGTCCGATTTATTGCATTACTGACAATAAATCGCACATACTGGAGATGAAATGATCTTGCCTTGCTGTAAATTGTTTCCATTTTCAAAAAAATCGCCGATCAAAGAGATTATAACACCATTTTCTTGCATCTAAAAATGTACAAAAACAGTGTTTATTTACTACCTATTTTTCATATACATAGGACATACCTACTACTGCAGAAACGTCATTTTCTCCAGGATTCCATGTAATATATATTTTATATACTGTATTACTTTATATTTATAAATTTCAGCCGAAATGTTAAATTGAACTTCCAAAACGAAACTAAACGGAGTGAATTAAAATGGCGTCGAATATTTTCTAATTTGTTCTAGAACAAATCTGAAGTTCTCTGAAACTGAAATCTGTCAATTCTAAACTGTGAAGTTAGGCAATAGTTAGACAGAAACATTGCTGTCCTTGTCCATATGGCCATACTTGTCGTCACAGAATGACAGGAATGACAGTAATGACTGTTTCCAATTTTCCTATTTCACTGTCACCCCCCTGATTCAGGCTGAGGCGACAAATGCCATGTCCAAACTACTTCAATTTAAATCCCGAATAACTTATGACAAGAAATACAAAAATTTTCAAGAATGGAAGCAATTAAAAAACGTGCGAGAAGAAAGATCAAGTGAAAACATACTTTTAGCATATTTTTCTGAAAAATCAATGAAAATGCAGCCGTCCAGTTTATGGTCGTACTATTCAATGCTAAAAAGTACTATACTGGTCACTGGTCAATGAAAACATTGATATTTTAAGGTTAAGGATAAGCTATACCATTTAAATTTCCGTAGTAGTATAGTAGCATGGTACAAAGAATACAAGGTATGATCGATAGCGGCTCCAATTTCGTTCAGTTCGCGCATACCACCTGTGACGTCACTAGGAAAATAATGAATAAATAAAAAATAAAGAAAGTTGACAGGAGATCTGCATTTTTTGGGGTTATGGTTAAGAATTGTTTATTTTTAAGACTTTTTAGTTCGTTTAATTTAATAATTACTAAAACCAGCAGTTCCAAAAATATATTTAAAAATAATTATCTATTAACATGGATTTGGACGATAATAATAGGTAAGAATACTAAATTTATTTCTATATTCGGTATAAAATTGTTTATTAGGTTTTTAGTTTGCGATGTTTATGGTAAATAATTTTCATGTTCATTGCCTCTGAATTCACATGAGGACAGAGATGAGGATATCTATGGAAAAGTAACCACAAGAGGAATTGTTACATCATTTAAAAAATGTTGGGAAGTTGAAGTTTCCCATCGAAAAGTAGAAAATGCCAATGCAGATGAATGTATTGTAATTGTGATAGAAGTAATTCCAAGGGTGAAGTCTATTATAATTAGTGACCTGTGCTTCTTTTTATATGTAGATGTTTCAGGTTTTGAGAATAAATCGGTTGAACGAAACCC